GCTGATGCTACTAAACTCTGGTTTAGTTTCACATATACAGGTATTTTTGTAACTAAATGCCTGTGTCAGTACTCAGGAGAATAGGAGTTGCAGTCTCCTTTTAGACCAACCCCAGTAATCAGCAGAGATATCATTAAAAGGTGTCTTTCCTTTTATTTTAACTCCTTCCCTACCCTGTCCTCAAGTAAATGCTACAGTGGAGAGCAGGCTTCCAGCGTAAGCAACATGCCAGCTCTCTGCAGATTGATAAAAGGAGTCATTGGTTAATGCATGCCCACCATAATGCTGATCTGGCTGTTTTTCATGTCTTTTTTTTAAACTTTGCTTTCTTAAAATATGTACAGCACTACTAAATTAAAAAGTATAGGCCGAATTCAGTTAGATGCAGGTCCAATTCTGTTAACTTGAATGGAGGGTAATGTCTGTGTGCTTTTGACCTTTTATTTCTTGCTTTAAAAAATCCTTTAAGATGCCCCCTTATTTGGTCAGTACATTTATTTACACAAATGAGCTTTTATGGAGTGAGTCCATTATAAAGATTACATTCAGTGGAGTGTCAAAGCATGATCTGATGATACACTATAAGAGATAAAGAGGAAGCAAAATCACAGTAATTAAACTAACAGAAATTATACATAAAGTGGGAAATATAAGCACTAGAGAAGCAGAAACATACTTAGAGATATAAGTGTAATGGACACTTATTAACAATCTTTTACTGGACCAACTTTTGTTGGAGAGAGTGTAAGCTCACTCTGGATAAACTCAAAACTTGTCTCTCTCGTTGACAGAAGTTGGACTGATAAAAGATATTATCTCACCCACTTTGTCTCTCCAATATTGTGGGACCAAAATGGTGACAACACCACGATATACAGATAATAACAATATCAGCTTCAATCTAAAAAAAAGCTGACAACACATTTAGATAAAAACAATCCAAAACACAATAGTAAAATGGATGAGAGAAGACTGAAGCATGGTAATGATGAAACAAAATTAGATAGACAATTAACTGAACTGAATATTTGCTAGCAAATTCATATAGTGACCAAGAGAAAAAAGCAATGTTATACTGGGTTATATTTATGGTGGCATCATGTTACTGATGAGGCAGATGACAGCATTTTTTCATTTATGTTTTGAATGCTGCATACAGTTTTGGCTGCTCATACAACAAAGAATTAAATGAGGGTACGGTGAAGGCCAAATAAGGTGATTAAGGGCTTGATTAAAAGAGTGAAATGAGTATAAATTGAGTAAAAGATTACAAGGTGTTATTTAGAAATAACTGATAAGTTTCAACAGGAAGAAATTATGTGGTTATGGGGATGAATAATTAGAACTGAAGGGATAGAACTGAGCATGGAGAATTTTAGAATATCAGTAATTGCCTAACAGTGACATCAGTTAGACTTAGGTCAGTGGTAGGGATGTAAGAGACCAGTCAACTATCTGATAAGCGGAAGCAACTAGTTGCTTCCCCCCCACCTTGCTGCTTCTATCAGAGAGAGGCAGCAAGAGGGGAGGAGGAGGAGCCAGTGCTGGGGGGAGCCGGCTTAAAAGCTGGTTCCCCCCAGCATCGTCTTCTCAGGGGGCAAGGGAGGTAGAGACACAGCAGAAATGGCACAAGCAGGATCAGAAGCAGTCTCCATATATGCCGCTTCTGCTGCCATTCTGCTTTTGAAATGTACAAGAGCACCAATAGGGCTCTTGTACATTTCAAAAGCAGAAGCCCCACAGGGAGTGTGGGGCCAGAGGGGTCCCCTACTGGTCCCCCGCTCCCTGTGGAGCTTCTACTTTTGAACTGTAGCAAGAGCCCAGCAGGCAGTTCAAAGGCAGAGGCACCCTTATTGACTAAGCAAATAGTCAATGTAAATCCCATCGACTATTTGATGAGTTAATTATAACTAATCTAAATTTACCATCCCTGGTCAGTGGAGTCCCAATTTGAGTTATTCGAACTTGGTCTTCAGTTACATAAAGCAGTGTTTCTCAACCTTTTTTTATAAAGTACCCCTTTAAAAAAAAAAGATCCCCAGTACGTACAGTAAATTTTTTTCTACCAATGCAACACATTTGTTTAAACAATTTAATCACAGCTGGGTGGGTGATGAAATTTTTTGGGTATAAAAGGTACAAAAATAAAAAACAAAAATTCTGTTTTCTCCAAATTTCACTTGTATTGACGTATGCCCCAGGCTTCTCTCGAGTACCCCTAACGGTACTTGCACCGCTGGTTGAGAAACACTGATATAAAGCATATGGAAATGTTCTATGAGGAACAATCCAGCTGATTTAATATGTCTCCCACATCTTTAAACTCAGTGATCTCACAATCTCCTTTTAAGTTTATTTCAGCTATGGGCCAACAGGAGTTACATATTACAGTTATGCAGAAATGACTTTTTTTTTAACTAATTTGTGGCTAGATCTTCACAGGTGCTTGAGCATTCACCATTCCCATATAAGGGTACATCTATGCTACAGAGGAAGATCGAAGCTGCCGCTACTGATCTTCCGGGTTTCGAATTAGCGGTCTAGTTAAGACAGCCAATTTGAAGTGAGAGGGGCACTCCGGTCGACGCGAGTAACCCTCTTTCACAAGGAGCAAGGGAAGTCAGAGGAGGAGTGTTCTTCGACTTCCTACAGGGTAGACTTCCTCAGGTGCCAAAACCTGACTAAAGCTACTTCAGCTTCAGCTACACAATTAACGTAGCTGAAGTTGAGTATCTTAATTCGACCTTGTCCCATAAGTAGACATACCCTAAGTTTCCTCTCAACAATCAGGACTTAATGTACTTTTAACTCTCTACTTTTTTTTATAAAGTGTCTATTTTCCCAAAGATTACCTTGAAGCATGACCAGTGATTGCCGTAGGCGACAGTTTTCTCTCATGGTGTCTGTCAGTCTCCTTTTCAGACTTTTTATTTTGGCACATAGTTCCACTTTGGATAGCTGAAACAAGGGTTCTTCATCATCACTGCTGCTCTCACTGTACAGAAAGGCATTTCCAGAATATGGTTCTCTCTGAAAAAAAATAAATTGGGGTATCTAAAGCAACAACAGCAACAGAAAATAATAAAATGTTTGGCTAATGGAGGATATTCTCTTTACAAAGATGGACAAAATATAAATGAGTTCACTTTAATAACTTAACTACAATTTACAACCAAACTGACTGAACATAATATTATCAATACTTAGCTCTAATATACTGCTTTCCACCTCTGATGTGATATATGAACATTTACTAAAATAGCATCTTTCAGCAGCACTAAATTCACTTAAAATTTTAAATAAATTATTATTTTTTTAAATGTGAACTTCAGCTTTGTTGTGCTGCACAGCTGAAAATTACTGATGACAAGATGATTTACCTGTTTGTTAATGAAAGATGTTTCAAGCTGACTCAGGATGCTGGCAGAGGCAGAGGCCTGTAATGATTTCTTTCTTTTTATACGCTTCATCATTTCCCCCTGAAAACAGCCACATGAGAATACATTTGCTCTTACATAGTGCTTTCTATCAGAAGATCTCATAGTACACTACAAACATGTATTCATTTTGGCCTTGTTATGTAATTTGAATAGGAAAATTGTGTGTCTATCTCTGTGTCAGTCCTGAGATCCATGGGTCCTTCTGAGCAATTTCCAGATCTCAGTCTATGGCAGACTTAAGAAACCATGACCCTTGCCCACTTTATGGAGTGGAGACATCCCTTTTTCACTGGGAACAATGTAGTGCAGCTACATGACATCCCAAGCTGTGAAGATTTTACATCATTTTCTCCTCTGCAGCTTCTGATAAGGATGGAAGGAAGATCTGGACCTTTGTTAACAATTACCCCAATCCAGTGGTTTTCAAAACTTTTTTTCTCCTGATCCAGGTGAAGAAAATTGTTGATGCCCATGACCCAATATAATTTGACCACGGTGTGGGCTCTGGGGTGGGGCTGAGGATGAGAGATTTGGAGTGTAGGAGGATGCTCCAACTTTGGTGGAGGATCAAAGGTGGGGGCAGGAAGGGCTTACATTGAGCGGCTCATGGTCAGCAGCACAGCAGAGGTGCTAAGGCAGCTTCCTGCCTCTCCTGGCACTGCAGACCATGCTGCACCCCAGAAGCAGGTTCCCAGCCAATGGCAGTGCAGAGCTAGTGTTTGGGGCAGCAGCAGGGGCAGTGCACAGAGCCCTCTTCCCCTAGGAGCCGATCTTGTTGCCAGCAACTTCTGCGGCACAGTGCAGTCTGCGGTGCCAGAACAGGTAGGTAGTCTGCCTTAGCACCCCCACCTGATCACCCTGCAGCAACAAGACCCAGTGTTTGCCATTCCATGACCCAGTACTGGTTGTGACCAGTGTTCTCTCTAAGCCAGTGGTCACCAACCAGTAGATCGGGATCTACCAGTAGATCTTGGAGCCTCTGACAGGTGATCCTGACTGGTTTGGCTAGGAAGCTATGAAGCACCAGCACTTCCGTTACCTCTCTACCCACTGTCCTGCTGCTCCTGCTCTCTGCCTTGCAGCTAACCCCTTGGGAGCCTCCTGCTTGCTGTGCAGGGTGTGGGAGGGGGAAGGGCAGCACTGATGTCAGGGTGTCCCTCCTCCCCCCACTCCTGTACTCTATATCCACAGAGAGAAGGGGATGGAGGGAGCTTAGCAATGCAAATCTCTGTCATTCACATATTGTGTGTGTCTGCCATTCTCACAAACACACACTGTCCTTCACTCTCCTCTCTCAACTCAACACGTGGGGGGTGGTTGTTACTTCTTTTACTGCTAGCAAAGTGTGTTACTTTGGGGGTTTGATAGGTCTGTACATTTCAGAATTTTCATTTCTCTTTTGCACTTAAATTTAATTCTTTGAGTAGTGAGTTCTAAAATGCCTACCCCGTCATGGCTAGAGTAATTATCCCTGTGGGAACTGCTACTCCTGGAAGTGGCTGGCATGTCCCTGCAGCCCTTGAGAAAGGCAGAGTAGGGGGTCTCCACAAGCAGTCCTTGCCTGCTGACACTACTCCTGCAACTCCCATTGATCAGTAATGGGGAACCGTGGCCAGTAGAAGCTGTGGGCTCAGTGCCTGTAGATGAGGGCAGCATGTGGTGTGATGGAGCCATTGTTGTACATGCCAGCTGCTTTCAGGAGTGGTGAAGGGCCAGGGTTTCCACTGCTCCACCACCTGGAAGCCATCTCAGTTAAACGGTGCCCAGCCAGAGCCTGCTTCCTGAACCTCTTCCTGCACCCAACCTCCTGCTCCAGATGTGAGTCCCCCTGCACTCAAACTCCTTCCCAGAGCTTGCATCATGAAACCCATCCTGGACCCCAGTCCTCCACCATGGGCTAACCCTGGAGCCCCTCCCACACTCCCAACTCCTTGGCCCAAGACCAGAGCCTGCACCCCCTATACCCTACCCCAGTCTAGTGAAAGTGAGTGAGGATGGGGGAGAAAAGGGGATGGAGTGAGTAGGGTAGGTCTGACAGAAGGGGTGGAGCAGGGGCGGGGCCTCAAAGAAGGGGCAGGAAGGAAGTGGGGCAAGGGTATCTTGGTTTGAAGTAGATCTTACATTGCACTTACATTTAAAAAATGATCTTGTGGTTAAAAAGGTTGGAAACTACTGCTCTAAGCTGTGGGGCAGCACAGCTTCACAGGTGATTAATCAGCCCTCCCCTCCCCAAGTCAGTCAGCACAGAGCCCTGAGCCTCTAAGTGGGTGGGGCTGATTAATCACCTGTGAAGCTGTGCTGCTGCTCTGCTTAGAGCAGTGGTCCCCAACCTTTCGAGGTTGTCGGGCGCCAGGGGGTGTGGCCGTTCGCCCACCGGGCACCAGGGGGCGGGGACACTTGCGCCCCCGGGGCAGGCGCTCC